TCTTTGTTTGCTTATTACAGGGAGGGAACTACCAGCTCATGGATCCCTCCTTGTAATAGGTAAGCTGTGCTCCCACCACTTCCTAAACACCCTGATGCCCCCCGTCATTCTCTGTGAGTCAATATGACTCCCATATTAGCATAAGGGAGATTAAAATCTCCCTAATGCCCCTCCTTAATGCTGCAAGCAGGGGCATGTCTACTAAACAGTGAGCAGCCAGTGGCCTTGAAAAAAACCAAACTGGTAGGCGGTAAGGCTGCAGGTAGGGAGGGAGTCTGACTACAGATTTAAAATATGCACAAAATAGACATTAGGCAGTTTGGAATGCAACCAGCCCCTCGCACAAAAGTCCAAAAATGTGAAATTAACTTTTTTAAAAATTTTTTTTACTTTATAATCATGTAAATCTAATATGCAAGTCTTAAAAGGACTTTCTAGGCTAAAATTGACCCATTCTTCTTTAATGTGTTTTATGGGTGCAAAATCAATAATTTAAAAACTTTTTTTTTTTTTATCCTATATGAAATTGTAGTATTTACTGCCAATCCCTAGGGTTTGCGGTTTGTAAGGTAGCTCACACCAAACCAGAGCTACTGACTGTTCAATAGATCACATAAGCAGAGCTTCTAGAGCACGCTTGAGGATTCTGGGAGTTGCAGTATAATAGTTTTAGGGTTGTTTACTAAAGTGAGAATGGTAGTGAATACCAAGAGAATTCAAAGTGAATTTCAAATTCCCAACAATTCTCTAGTGAATAAACCTGTAAGTGTTCTACACAGAATGCAAACAGCTAAACTATAACACAGAAACTTAATTCATTATAATCAATGTTATCATGTATGGCAGTGTTATTGAAGCAAAAATGGAAGCAATGCTAGTTTAGAGGAAGTGGCAGAATAGGTGGGCATAAGGAGCAATACCATTGTTAACTGATATTTTATGTTAAAAAATTATAATAAAGCCTCCCAAAATGCCAAACTAATTGATGCCACCATATGTTTCAATACTCTGCATCCCTCCATACGTTGGTAAAACCTAAAAAAACAAAAACAGAGATTTTCTAAGCACTTTAGAGTAGGGTACCCTCTAGTGGCTCAGATGATAAAATGCTTTTTTTTTTTTTTTTTTTTTAATCAACATTTTTTTTACTATATTCAGAAACATTGGGGGATATTTGAGAAAGTGCTTATAAAAGTGTCAGTTAAATTTCGTCATTACTTTCATTGTATCTGTTAAAGCGTTCTAAAAGTGATCTAAAAGTTTTCACATAAATTTCCATTTCAAAACATCACCAAATTGGTGGGGAAAAAGGTACAACAGAACACTTTTCTGTTGATAAAGTGTCAAAAAAAAATCATAAATAAACCATGTTGTCATAAAAATGTCATATTTTAAAAATGACATTTAGGGAGCAAAAAAAAGCAACATATTAGAAAATCCAACAGATTTCATAAATTACCCCAAGGTCCACTGAAAACAAGACATTAAGAAATATCCCCCTTTACTTCTGTTTTCCCTGCTAGTGTACAATGTTTGCAATGGCTTTGCCTCAACTAATTAGGATTGTGTTGCCATTTGCTAAATCTTTCAAATTCATTTAAAGGAACACTCTGAGGGCCATAAACACTCTAAACGTAACCCTGCACTAGATCATACCCATCTGAGACTAGTCCTTCTTGCTATGAATACCTAAACCTCTTTACAGTGTTATTGAAATTTATTCTATGAAATATGTTCCAACTTTACTTAAAGGAACACTATAGGGTCAGGAACACAAATGTGTATTCCTGAATGTTAAAAACACTATTTAGACATTTAGCCCCCTCCCCCCCTTAAATGTAGTAAACCTATTTTATCACTGAAATATCACTCAGCATGTAAATTATATTTACTATACTTTTTATGCACAGTCCATCATCTTGGAAAATATGGTTGGCATGGCAACTTTGCTTTTAGCATAAAGCTGGAGTGTGTCATACAGGCCTTCTCTCACCTATCGTCAAAGTACAGGACTGGCTGTAAAGAAACTGGCTGTAGGAAACATTTACCATTTACTCTGAGAATCTACTCATACACCTTAAAAATCAGATTTGTTTTGTCATGTAGAACATATCTTTGCAACACAAATGCAGTTGGGACACTAAGGCCGACAGAAAAAAAAGACAATCAGATTCAAACAGTCTTATACATTTATGGACTTTGTAAAGGGAAAATGTAATTTCTCAGGTTTTTCAATATTATGTTTACTTATTCCTATATTTTTATTTAGTCTGTATTTGTGAGGTGTGGAAAATAAAATAACATTTGAAAATCAACATCCCTCTGTTGGGAACCTCCATCTTAGCCCTCTGTCACTCATTCTTGTAAACTCTAGCAGATCAAATATGTGAATTAAACAGCTTTTTAATTAAGCATTACATAGGGCAATTTTTCAATCACCATCTGTCAACCTGCAAACTCTATCCCTTGCATTTTGCGGTCAGTATAGAGAAATCATCCAGAGAAGAAACAATATTTGTATTTCTTGTGTTTTGCAATGTTTGCCTTGTCTGAACTGGATTATGATGAAATCTGCTAAATATTTTATACACTGATCATTGCAATGGCACCTGTCAAACGGTGGGATATATTAGGCAGCAAGTGAACGGTCAGTTCTTGAATTTCATGTGTTGAAAGCAGGATCAATCAGTGACTTTGACAAGGGCTGTATAGTGATGGCAAGCTGACTGGTTCAGAACATCTCCAAGTGGCAAGTCTTGTGGGGCGTTCCTGGTATGTAGTGATTAGTACCTACCAAAAGTGGTGTAAGGAAGGACAACTGGTGAACCGGCACTAGAATCATGGGGGTGCCCAAGGCTTATTGATGCACGTGGAAAGTCTAGTCTGTCTGGTCCAATCACACAAAAGAGCTACTATAGCACAAATCACTGAAAAACCTAATGCTCGCCATGAGCGAAAGGTGTCATAAGTTCAATAAGTGTATGGAACTGTGCAGCCGCAGACTGACCAGAGTGCCCATTATGACCTCAGGTGTGTGCGCATCATTTACCTGGACAGAAACGGCAAGAGGATGCACTACGGGAAGAAGGCAGGCCGGCAAATGCAGTGTTATGCTCTCGGCAACGTTCTGGGGTCCTGGCATTCATGTGGATGTTAATTTGACATATACTACCTACCTAGATATTGTTGCAGACTACGTACACCCCTTCGGAGCAATGGTGTTTACTGATCACAGTGACCACTACCAGATGGATAATGCGTCCTGACACACTGCAAACATTGTTCAGGAATGGTTTGAGGATTATGATAAAGAGTTCAAGGTGTTGCTTTGGCCTCCAAATCCCCCAGATCTCAATCCAATTCAGCATTTCTGGGATGTGTTGAACCAACAAATCCAATTCATTTATGTTACACCTTGCAACTTGCAGGACTTAAAAAATCTGCTGACTTGGTGCCAGATATCACAGGACACTTTAATAGGTCATGCAGAGTCCACGCCTCAAGCATCAGAGCTGTTGTGGCAGCACAAGGGGGACCTACACCATATTACGGTGGTGGTTTTAATGTTGGAGCTGTTCAATGTATAAACTTAAAATAAAATGGAGCATCTCATGAAAAAAATATAACAAATATTATGGGAGATTTTCAAGGCTTTATTCAATTGTACAACTTCTAGAAAAGTGACAGTTCCGCTTTAACATCTTTAAAATGAAAGCACTGTGTATGCTTCATACCAATCCTTCGGTACAATTCTTGAAAATAAAGAATCCTAATAATAATAATAATATCTTCTGCTATTCAAAACAAAGATCCAAAAGGCAAACTTAATTATTTTCATATTTTTCTTTGCTTCTCATTTGGCAAATAAGAACACAAGGTAGACAGGGATTCATGTGTTCAATATCACTTCTCTTGAAATATATTTATAAATAATTTTGCTTGTCGTTATCATTTTTCATTATCATTAGATATATATATGTCAAAAGATTTGATTTGTCTTATTTATCTTTTTTTTTATTTACTTTTTTACAAAATATGATTTAACCATCACAAAAAACATTTATCAAGGTTTTAATATTAGTCATTTAGAAGTCAGCATAAGGCGGAATGAGTTACTTAAAATCTTGCTTTTCATTTAGTAAGCAACTTAATATTAAATGTACATGAACAGTCTTCAAATTAATTGGAAAAAAAATGAAAAATGTAGCAATTTGATGAATCATGAGTTTCTGGAAAAAAAGACCGTAAGTGGAAAATATAGATACTAAGTTTGTGAAAAACAAATAAAATAGAGCAGCTTAAGCAATAAAATTCAGTTTGAGGTTTTCTTAATTTTAAACAGCATTCTAGTGGGTCTTGAAATATTTAAAATGATGGCAAGTTAAACTTTGTAGGGTTTATTTACTAAACACAGAATTTCAGTAAATTCTTTTCTTTAAAAAATGAAATATTTGTTTTAAGTCTAGGCACATTTATTTAAAATGAGAAGCGATATGTGTTAAAGGGGAACTAATAAATACTCTAAACATTTACACTATCTGAAATATTAATTGATCTATTTTTAAAGAATTAACAGGGAATAAAACATTGCAGCGAGTATATCATTTTCCTGTTTTTGTTTTTATTTATGTAGAATGCGGCTTACAATTCTTTTCAGAGATTGTGGGCTTGAAGAAGAGTTGATATTTTCTGGTAGGCAGTGGAGGAACTAATGTTGAGAGGGCCCAAGAGCTAGAATCCTTCTGAGCCCCCCTCTAGCAAAGGTGGCCAAAAGGTAGATCTCTATCCGTTGTGCAATTCCCACAATGCTTTGCCATTTGCTCATCTTTGCAGGGATGGATTTGTAAACAGTGTTTGTGTGTTTGAACATAAGTATGTTTTTGTATGGAGAATATGTGTACATGTATGTGTTTATTTGTGTGTATTGTTGCCACTAGAATGCAATGGGTGTGTTTGTATGCAGTATTGGCAGACAGATACACATATGCACACACTGCCATGTTTTTCCAAATATTTAGCCACTCTCCTGTTTCCTTACCTTTCGAGTTCAGGCTGGTAGTTTTCACAGAGTACACTGGTATCCGGCTGCTGGCTGAGGCAGTATGGTCCCAGCTCTCTTCTTCCTCGCTCCCCTCTTTTCGCCGTGCCTCCTCCTAGACGACGTGTCTCGCTTTGTAAGTTGTGAGAAAGTGACCAGAACTAACTTGCTCCCAGCATTGCCAGTCTGACAGGGGCCCGACTGTGCTGTTAAAGAGCTGCGATGTCCAATGAAACCACTGGGGAGCAGGGCCGGACTGGCCCACCGGGATACCGGGAAATTTCCCGGTGGGCCGTCGGCACCTGGGGCCGGGCAGACACCTGGGTCTGCAGGCGGCCGCTGGGGAGGTCTTCTGGCGGCCGCTGGGGGACTTGTATTGGCGGCCGTTGGGGGAGCTGCGCTGGCTCTGCTCCCCAGCGCACAGCTGAATGAGACCGGCGCCGGAATATGATGTCATATTCCGGCGCCGGTCTCATTTAGCAGCGCGCAAGGGCGGGAGAGCAGAGCAAGCGCAGCTCCCCCAGCGGCCGCCAGAAGACCTCCCCAGCGGCCTCCAGTACAAGTCCCCCAGCGGCTGCCAGCAGACCTCCCCAGCGGTCTCCAGAAGACCTCCCCCTGGCAGGTATAAGTAATGTGTCAGTGTGAGTTTGTATGTCTGTTATGGTGTGTGTGTGTGTCTGTCTGTCTGTATGTTCTGTCTGTATGGTGTGTGTCTGTCTGTCTGTCTGTGTCATGGTGTCTGTATGGTGTGTGTCTGTCTGTATGGTGTCTGTCTGTATGGTGTGTGTCTGTCTGTCTGTGTCATGGTGTCTGTATGGTGTGTGTCTGTCTGTATGGTGTCTGTCTGTATGGTGTGTGTCTGTCTGTCTGTGTCATGGTGTGTGTGTGTGTCTGTCTGTCATGGTGTGTGTGTCTGTCCGTCATGGGGTGTCTGTGTAACCCCTCAAACTCAATTGGCAAGGACATACCCCCGGCTAGCTGTGACTAAATATACCAATAGGGCGGGCAGGAGGGAAGCTGTTTGCTGGCCCGAATCCCAAGTGGCACTGAGGTAAGACCTCCCCCACACTAACTTACACAGAACATAATCCCACCCACACACTCTTTCCCAACCAATCCCCTGCATCTATCCCCACACTCCTACATGTGCCCTTGTCCGCTTAGCTGCGCTATCTCCCCAGGGCTTTAATTACAGTCAGAGAGCTCACAACACAGCGGCACAGGGAACCGTGGCACTGCAAGCCTCTGAACAATGTATACAGAGCTATCTCTCTGTATCCAGCGCTGCAATGCAAGCCTGCCCTTCAATATAACTAGAGCACCTTTTTTTGTCATTCTTTATTTTGAGTATACAAGCGAGTACATATGAGTGTGCAGTGCCACGACAACAGCTGCATGCAAGGCAGAATATGACAAAATATGACATTGGCATGGCAGATTCAACATTTGCACCTTTGCCTTTTTTTTAAAGTAAGAAAAAAAACACGATAGCTATAATGTCAGCTGAATGTCAAAACAAACATGTATATAATTCTGAAAAAAACATCCTGACAATATGCTAATAATATTGATAGAAAATGAACTATGCTAGGCATACTAATTAAGTATTAGCTTATACCGCTGAGGCCATATATACTATGAGTGAAAATCACAACATGCTAAATTTCAGGAATACATACACTGTCCTATTTTAATATTACAATATACAGATTTAGTTGCTTTAAAAGATCAGGCTGAACAGACACCTCAATGTAAGCAGGATAGGTGGAATATTCTGTAGATAGGTAAAAGAAATAAAAATGACAGCATAGGGTGTCGTGTGCTAAATTAACTGAGGCAGTAGTCCGGTTAGTTAGCTCAACCGACTCCTGTAAGTGGAAGTGCCACAGCTCCTCCGGAGAATACGTTGTTCCAGGGCGAAGTGCCCTTCCAACCCCAGGCCTGCGTGAGGGCTGGCATCAGTGTACCGCAGACACGGATCCATCTGGTGTTCGATTCTATCTCCTTCTCCTTCTCTGGGGGGGCGGCAGATTCAGGTGACAGTCGCCATTTTCCGCGGGCAATCTGTGTGAGCGATGCTTGGAGGACAAGCCTCTGGTGGCTCTCGGCCCAGGTAGGTTAGTAGGGGTTCCAGGAGCGGTTTCTTGTGTGTTCCGCCTCTGCAGTATCCCTGTCGATGCTTGCTGGTCATCTTGCATGCTCGCAGTGTGAGCCAAAAGCACTCAAATATTTAATTGAGACGCTTCAGACAGAGTGCTATGTGTGTGACTCGCGCTATGTGAGTGAGGGAGGGAGTCAGTCGCCATCTTGTGATGTTGGAGTACGGTTCGGAATCAGCTCTTGTGGAGTGGTAAGTATAGATGAGACAACGTGGGGTAGCCCAGAGGGAACCCGGGATATCCCCCGCTGGTCCAAGGGCAAGTGTAGCAAGTCCAAGTGATACATGCCAGTGGAAGCTGTGACTGGATAGTAAAATTCTCTCACTTGGCAACAGCATTACTACTCTGGACTAATCTTCTAAAACCTGGACACATATAATATAAATCTTTTTATAAGGGTATCCTCCAGGGGGAAAGCCTCACTTCCTGATAAGCTGACCATTCCATCTATCAGAGAAAAGAGTGACAAAGCGAAGATAATTGCAACATTGCCTTTTAATACGATGCATAAATAAGATTTTGGAGAAAAAAAATGAAAGGGACACTATAGGCACCCAGATCACTTCAGCTTATTGAAGTGTTCTGGGTGCTATGTCCCAGGCCCCTTAACCCTGCAATTGTACTTACTACAATTTTTGATAAAAGAGATGATTACCTTCACCTCTAGTGGCCTAACTGATGCTAGACGTTCTCACGCTCGGCATGAGGACATCCAGCGTCACCAAAAACCCAATAGGAAAGCATTATCTAGTCCTTTATCTATGATGGAAGTCCTAATGCAAGAATGTCACTTGCTGCGCATGCGCATTGGGTTCCCTCCTCCGTCAGGTGGAGGCGGAGCCTAAACAGCACTGAAGGACATCAACGCTGGAATCAGGTGATAAAGCGGTTTTAACCCCTTCAGCACCATGGGGGGCACAGGGGAGGGGTCATTATAGGGCTAGTAAAACAACTTTGGTTTTCTAGCACTGTAGTTTATACCAGTATAGTAGGCATGGTCCATTTGTATGTTGTGAAGTGCATCTCTAAAAGCCTAGAATGAGTAACGGAAGTGCCTAAAAGATTCTCTGTTCTGATTTGATATGTTGCTGGAAAAAATAAGCCACCACCTGTGAACTAAACAGTAAGGTTCAGTGTCTGTTGACATGTTCCCTGTCTTTTAATCTAGAAGCACTTGGTCATTTTATTTTTGGTACATTGGTCACTTACAGGTGCAAGGTCATGCTAACAGCTGGACATGTGTACTGGCAGCCAAGATACCATGTATGTGCATCAGCTGTGTTAAAGCAGAGCAATAGAATTCACAGCTCAAAATGTTAAAATGGATTTCCACAGTTGGCTCATATATAGCTTTACAACTATGGGGCTGGTATGTACAGTCACGATAAAACAAAAATACTGCAAGTATCCAGTGAAGACATTTTATATTTTAAATTTAATTTTTTTTAATAAAAGTATAAGTAATCATGTATATAGTCATTGGTTAGGTAGCATAGTGCATGTTACACGTTTAAAGAGGAACTGCACCTTTTGTTTGCATTATTTATTACGGTTAAATTGCAGATTATCCTGACTTTAGTAAAGTGATAATCTTAATTTTAATAATTACTTTTTTTTAACTGCATCTCCATATACACACACTGACACACAGAAACACACACTGATACATACACACACACTGAGAAATACACACACTGAAAAACACGTAGATAAATGCACACATACATTTAATCATGTTTACCTTTTTAGTCATCCTCCTGTTAACATACATTTTATGTGCAGGAGGGTAGCTTCCATGGGTCCTGCTGGCTGAGGCTTATGAGAGTGTTGGGCTAGCTGCAGGCTCACTCCTTGCTTCTTTCTCCCCTCCTGTGCCTCTTCTCTGTCTTCTGTACTGCTCTGTATGTATGTCGGAGGAAGTGACCTGTGTGAAATCGGGCACAGGTCACTACTTCCGACATACATACAGAGCCGGTCCCTGTTCACCACCCAATGGGCTCCTGAGTGAAGCTACAAAAAACAGAGTGGCATGCGGTCCATGGATACCTCGGGCAGGGACAGTGGCGTCTCAGGAAGCCAGCTAACCTTGCCGCTGCCGGTAGACTGATCTCTGGGGAGAGTCACACCATGAGCTATACATTTTACTGGGAAGCCAGTATCTGTGACCAGCAGTGTTCATTTTTTCAGCAAATCTAATTTTACTTTTAGTCATAGTCTTTTGACCTCCGTGTCTCTTGATTAGACCATCACAACAAAGCTGGCATTAAATTAGTTTGATATAACATGTACATGTGCAAGTGCTTACACTGCTTTTTAGCATGAGGTACGTCTGTAGTGATAGACACTGAAATAATAGCATTAGAGTGGAGGGGGTTCACCCCTGTTGTTGAATAGGGATCAGTGTCAATATATAAACTAAATATACCAAGGGGAAAAAAACATAGTAAATGGAAGTTAAGAACAGCATCGAAGGGGGGAAACATAAAATATATGTCCCTTGCACAAAACAACTAAGAACATAATAAAATAAAAGTAAACAAATCTTATACTTTAATAAAATAAAAATATAAATAAAAAGTGAGGAGACATTAATACTCTGACCTATTTGCTGCTATGGACCAAGAATGAGGAGGAATTTTATACTCACACTGTATATCATTTTATTATCCTCATTGGATAATGTTTATATGGTTTGCTTTTATGGAGATGCAGTAAGGAAAGCAAAGCTAATATGATGCCTCCTGTCATGTTTCAAAACGTACTTTTACACAGGCGGGGTTAGGTACAAATTTGCTGGCTCTTTGATTTATATCACATGCGAGGCTGTCGAGGCCCTGGGGAGATAGCGCAGCTAAGCGGACAAGGGCACATGTAGGAGTGTGGGGATAGATGCAGGGGAGTGACTTGGGAAGTGTGTGTGGGAGGGGTTAGGTTTCATGTAAGTTAGTGTGGGGGAGGTCTTACCTCAGTGCCACTTGGGATACGGGCCAGCAAACAGCTTCCTGTCCTCCAGCTCCTGTTTGCCTGGGTCTGCAGATTTACACAGCTTGAGGTGATGGATATTGAGGCGATCCTGTCATCCCTCAGGGCTGCTGCTGCGCTGGATGGTGGCCGGCAACTAAGGGAGCAATTTCAGAGCATTAGTGGAGGTATGGCTGCCGGTGTGGGCCTACCCTCCCCTGGAGCACCCCCTGCGGTCTCCCCTGCTGCCTCCCATGTGGCCCCTTCCCCTGGGGGCTGCACCAGCACTGGCAGGCATTCCTGCCCGCCTGCCAGGCTGTCACCAGACACCACTCCTCGGGCCCGGTTGAGGAGCAACTGGAGGCCGGAATCTGCGGCCTACTGCGGCCGCGCGGGTGGCACGGCCTTCAGCCACGAGGCCTGCCACTGCCGCGCGGCCTGCTTCATCCCTAGCCGCAAGGCCGGCTACTCCCAGGCCGGGGATGCGGCCTGCAACTGCCGCGCGACCTCCTGGTGCGGCTGACGCGCGGCCTACTCCTCCTCCCCCCTCCACACCATCCGCCCCGCCCGCCAGAGGAGGATCGCGGGACGGTGGGCGGCGTCTACAGTCCTCCGGGCGGCAGCGGGGGGGTAGGGTGTTCGTAATGTGATGCTCTCTCTCGTTCACAGTGGGACGTGTTTCGGGCAGTGGCTCCGCAGGCCGAATTGGTGGGTGTCCCGTGTCCAACAGAGATGTGGTCCTTGGGTCTGACAGACTAATGGAGCTGGTCCGTGGGTCGGTGGCTGTGGCCACGTAGGACCACTATAACAAGGTCTGGAGGGAATGGGACGGGTGGGAGAAGTACCAGGGGGGTTTCAGGGACTCCTCCTCTCACCTGCAAGGTCTGGTTCTTCTCTTTAGGGATTGGGAGGCTGCGGGGTTGTCTCCCTCGGCCGTTTCGGCGCGCTTAGCGGGGCTCAGCTTCCTGTTTAAGTTGCGGGGTTGGGACAGCGCTACCAAGGCATTCATCATACGGCAGGCGCTGAAGGGTTTGAGGCGGGGGAGGGTGTCTACGCGAGACTCGAGACGTCCTGTCTCGGGCACGCTCCTAACTACTTTGTGTGAGGCGTTGCACAGGGTTTGCCATTCGGATTTCGAGGTTCGGCTCTTTCGCCTAGCCTTTTCCTTGGCATTTCTATTTCTTCTTCCAGGGGGCCCAGCTTACCCTGGGCTGGGCCCCCTGGTCTTCCCTCCTCTTTCCCAGTGTCCCCTGTCCCCCTCCCCCCTTCTGGTGGGCCTGCCCCTGCTCTCCCTGCTTCCCCCCCCGTTCTTCCTCCCCCCCATCTAGTTTCTTCCCCCCCCGGCTTCTTCCTCTCTATTGTCCTCCCCCCCCTCTGCCTTGTCTGGGCCCCCTCCCGCGCGGACAAGGACAGTAAGGAGTCGGAAAAGGATAGGGAGAAGTACCGTTTCCGCAAAATTCCCAAGACCTTTGGGAACTGGATTCGGGCGTTCTCTATTTTGGCCAACGTGGTTGGGGAAAAGTTTCCCAACAAGTGCTCAGCGCTGTTCTGTTATCAGGACACGATCTGGAACGCTTGTCGCACCTATGGGGGGCTGGGTCGGTGGAGATACGACGAGCAGTTTCGACAGCGGCTGGCGGTACGTCCCTGGCTGTCATGGGATCAGATGGATATTGGCCTCTGGCTTTCCATCATGACTCGTCCAGCCCCACAACAAGGCGCGTTTTTGTCCTTTCTTGGGGGGGCCGGTGGGGGTGCGCCTTCCTCCTCATCGGCCTCAGGTCCAAGGTCTGGCTGTTGTTGGAAGTTTAACGACAGTCTCTGTAAATGGGGGTCTTCCTGCTGGTTTAAGCACAAGTGCTCCGGCTGCGGCGGGACCCATCCTGCCTCTCGCTGTTTCAAGCGGGGAAAAACGGGTGAGAAAGGGGACATTGGGGCTAAGGGCGACGACTCCGGTCCTCGTAAACGCGATGCGCCCGTGGCTCGACCTTTATAGGAATCGGGTCGCGGCGTGGATCCTGGTGGAGGGGTTTGAGCAGGGGTTTTGGATCCCGTTCTCTGAGCGCCCTCCGCTGCTCTCCGTACGC